TTTCCTTCTCCTTTCTTTCTTTTCTTTCCTTTCTTTCCCTTTTCTCCTTTCTCTTTTCTTCAATTGCATGCTTTAGTAGCTTCACCGGCGAGTTAAAATCATCATCTTCTTCCTCATCCTCCGTCTTACGTTTCTTTTTCTCCTTCTCTTCTTTCCTTGCCTCTCTTTCCCTTCTCCTTTTGCTTCTCGGAGTTGAATCCGTTGCTTCAGCCTCTTTCACCTTCTCTTTCTTTTTCTTCTCCACGCGTGGAGTTTCCAACTTCGTCTTCGACTGTTTCGGCGTCTGAACTGTTGAAGCGCCACCTGTTGCATCGCCACCTACGTTTTTGGGAGATTCCCAGAACCCCTCATCCAAGCTTCCATCCAGAATATCATGTTATGCACCTTTATATCGACGTCTACACGTCGGGGTTCACCTTCCCAGACAGGATATATTTCCTCCAAGGGCTTCACCACCAGTAGATGTCTAACCCGAACCTGTCATGCCATAGAAAATGATATTAATAAATCTACCATGATATTAATAAATCTATCAAACTGAATCAAAAACTCTACCAAAATGTAAAAACTCTACCAAACTGTACAAACTCTACCAAAATGTAAAAACTCTACCAAACTGTACAAACTCTACCAAAATGTAAAAACTCTACCAAAATGTTAAAACTCTACCACATTTAATAACTCTACCACAAATTGTTGTATAATAAATTTAATAACTCTACCACAAATTGTTGTATAATAAATAACTCTACCAAACACTAAGCTATTATCAAAAAACTCTACCAACTCAATAGCTGCTAAGGTACAAGTACCTTGTGATCCTCGGTTTCACTCTTATCCATCTCCAAAAGAGTCTCGAAAACATTACGACACCGTGATGAAGTCCACCTAAGAAGAGGAACAACCGAGTCATCTACATCGGGGCGTATTTTCCCTGCTCTCTCAGCCAATATAGGGATGCACTCATAACCCCAAACAAGCATTGCCTGTACACATCCGTGGAGAGTGTATCGTGCTCCCCCCAAGTTAGCAATCTTGAGGGAATAAATTAGTTCATGGAATCCATAACGACCCCACGGCTGTCTCTCGAAAGCTGCTTCATCCATAACTGTTTTGGCTAAAGCCAACGGGATTCGACTGTTGCGGTGAAGTCCCAATACACCAACATGCAAAATGAAAAGCAACGCCAACATCTTCTTCTTCTCATAAGTCCATGCTTGGCAAGTTTTCATCCGAGCTTTCTAACTCATTCCAATTGGGGCCTTCCCCACCTCTCACTCCAATCTCGGCCCAAAATTCGGTGTGATCTATTTCCACCTTGTCATTGTGATCAATTGGGTCACAGTTTAGCCCCGTGATTTCAGCATACTCTAAGAGTGAAAATCTAACCGGGCGACCTCCAATAAGAGTCCAAAACTCATGATTCCTATCCACCTTCAGTTGGTTGCTCACAAAATACTGAACCGTCTTAGCACTCCATATGAACGAAGACAATGCAAGCTTCAGTAGCACGCCAACTTGAGAATTATTCATGATGTCGTTGTAAATATCATCCCCAAGGTGATCCCTGATCATCATGATGAACTCATGAAGCTTGCAGTTATGATGACAACTCTTCTTCAGCAAAGGAGATTTGCCTTCCGGGTACAATCTTTGGGGATAATCCTTTGAGCCGCTAGCTGAAGCCATGTCTGCAAACGATAGGTAAGATTAAAATCTTACAAATCTACCAGACATCAAAACAAATCTACCATGAACTTACACATGTCTACCAAACTCAACGACAACTATAGAATACCTACCACAGAACATTAACAAATTTACGAAAACGAACACAAATCTACCAAAGAAAATAAAATATACAACGCAAATCTACCAAATGAATACATAAATCTACCACACACAAAGAGGAGAACGCAAATATAGAATTCGTAAGTCTACCAAACTTATCATGTC